CTCTCTCTCTCTCTCTCTCTCTCTCTCTCTCTCTCTCTCTCTCTCTCTCTCTGTGTGTGTGTGTGTGTGTGTGTGTGTGTCTATTTGTGCAAACCCATGTGTATTCAAGTTAGCACACATGTGTTTGCTGAGTAAGCAGGCTAGTAGACAAACGCAGACGTTAGTCTTTAGGGATCATCTGCCTCTTTTTGTTTGTTTGTTTGTTTGTTTTACAGACAGGGACTCTCATTGTCCTGAAATGTACCAAGTAGGCTAAGCAGGCTGCCTTGTGATCCCTGGGGATCTGCTAGTCTCTCTGTCTCCCCAGTGATGAGGTTATGAGCCTGTACCACCATAAGTTGCAACTTAACCTGGGGTCTGGGTTTCAAACTCAGTATTTCCTCATCCTGTATGTTTTTATTAAGTGTGTACTCTTCTTTTACAAGCTCACAACCCCATTTCGTATGTCAATGAATGTTTCTTTCTTAGAATCTGCTAATCTGTTTTAAAATGACTCTTGAAATGTAATCCTGCCCCACATATCTCAGCGATGGTTGGCAGAAATAAGCACTATCACATAAACAACCTGCCTTTGTTATCAAGGCATCTAATCTACTGATGCCATTTTTGCCATCACTATTTTGGTATTTCACTGAGCACAGTAATGAATTCTGACCTTAAATGAATCCAAATACTCAGACTAGCTACTGTGCTTTTCCACTGTACCAGCCAAGCCTGAGCATTTAACTCTTAGTGTTTCAGGATTTTGAACTCCTGCATTCAGAGATAACAATGTTAACCAAAAGTCGAGAGTCATGTACTTTATAAATTTCAAACTTATTTATGTGTGGCTTATGTGGTGTGTGTATGTGTTCACATACATGTATAGGGAGGTCAAAGGTCAACATTGAGCATATTTTTCTATTGCTGTCTACCATTAATTGAGACAGAGTTTCCTGTGAACATGGAGCTCACCAATTCAGCCATACCACCTGACCACCAAGCCCCAGGAGTTCTGTTTTTTTCTTCTCAGCACTGGGATTACAGACATGCAATGCTGTGCTCAACCTTGTATGTGGTTGACAGAGTACTCAAGAAAAATGTTCCTGCCTGTCTTAGTCAGTGTTCTATTGCTGCAGAGACACCATGACCACAGCAACTCTTATAAAGGAAAACATTTAATTGGGGCTGGCTTACAGTTTCAGAGGTTTAGTTCATTATCGTCAGGGTGAGAAGCATAGCGGTTTGCAGGCAGACATGATGCTGGAGAAGTAGCTGAGAGTTCTACATCAGGGTTGGCAGGCAGTGGGAAGAGAATTTCACTGGGGCTAGCTTGAGCATCTGAGACCTCAAAGCCCATCCTCAGTAACACACTTCCTCCAGCAAGGTCACAAATCCTATCCCTTTCAAATAATGCCATTCCCTATTAGCCTATGGGGGCCATTTTCATTCAAACCACCATGCTGCCCCTTAAAGGAAGTCTAGACTGAGTGATTAAAAAACAAACTTTTAAGTAGAACCTTTGTCTTTTCCCACACTCACTGACAATTATGGACATATGTGTAGCAGCCTATTTTCCCAGCAAGTTGGGAGGAGCTAAGGTGGGAGGAGTAAGGAGAGGAAGAGGAGGAGTAAGGAGAGGAAGAGGAGAGGAAGGAGGATGAGGGAGAGGGGAAAAAGGTGGCATATGTACGAGTGTCTCCAGCAGTCTAAGGTAGTTGTAATATCTAGGTTAGGTATTGGGTTATACCTCTAATTGTGTGGGCATCTTATTATTTGATCATTACCAAATATATAAAGCCTTTGATTAATCTTTAAGCATTAGAGTCTCGTTCATAATGGGTACTGCATGGATGGTGGGATGGTCTGGGCTCAGCCCAGCCTTGTGGAGATAGCATGGTAGAAAGGCAGAGCCATCTCCCACGCTGACATCTTGTGGGTGGCCGGGCCAGTGTAGAGAACATGTTGTTGCTCATGACCTCAGGCCTAGTCGAGTTGGGAATATGGCGGTTCCATAACACAAGACAGATCAGGTACCGGTAATTTTCAACTTCTCCTGTTACACATATGCATGTATTTCTGTATGCTTATGAATATATTTATGTATACTATACTTACTAACATGTATTACATCTACTTACCAGCCTTTCACTAGGATCATAACTGTTGACTTAGTTCTCTCTCTCTCTCTCTCTCTCTCTCTCTCTCTTTCTCTCTCTCCTCTTTTTTCCTTTCCTCTCTCCCTCCCTTCCTTCCTTCCTTCCTCCTTCCCTCCCTCCCTCCCTCCCTCCCTCCCTCCCTCCCTCCCTCCCTCCTTCCTTCCCTCCCTCTTTTCCTTCCTTCCTTCCTTCCTTCCTTCTTTTCTTTCTTTCTTTTTTGACAATGTGTCATGTATCCTAGGTTGGTCTTGAACTTGTCCTGATCCCCTTGCCTCCACCTCCTGAATGCTGTGGTTGTATAAGGAACATTCTCTATTTCTTTCACTTCACATTGATTTATGTTCATTGTCTCAATTATACAAATTGGCAAGGTTGGAATAGGTGAAGTTTATCTCTGCTACATGCTTAGTAATCTTATTTCTACGGGTAGCTCTAGCACCTACCTCCCCTGTCCCATAGGAGCCATAGCCTGAGTGGGTGGCTGAGAGCAAGTGCTTGAAGGTGGCTGATTTTTGTAGAGAGTCTACGTGTGGAAATAGGAATTCTTGGACTACACTTGGTATTGAAGTGGCTGATGATTCTGAGTCTGGAAATGTGGAGATGTGATAGACGACAAGGTGCTTTGTCTCACAAAGGACAGGAACTTTGTGTGAGGTGTGTGAGTATGTGCATACAGTGTGTGCACACATTGCATGCATATGTATGTATCTCTGTGTGTTTTATGTGTGTGTATGTGTCTTTCTTTGTGTTTGTGTGTATATAGCTATATCTGCATGTGTATCTGTGTATGTGTGTATATGTGTCTCTGTGTGTATAGCTGTGTGTGTGTGTGTGTGTGTGTGTGTGTGAAGGAGGGAAAAGCCAAAACCACTGAGATTCAGGAGCTTCTGACTGAGGGACACATTAGACTCCCATAAGTTTGCAACCTTTCCAATTCTGGGATCCTTTAATACAGTTCTTCATGTTGTGGTAACCCCCAACCATGAAATTATTTCCGTTGCTACTTCATAACTGTAGTTTTGCTATGATTACTCATTGTAATGTAAATACCTCATATTCAGAATCTCTGATATGTGACCCCAGAGGGGTCGTGACTCATGGGTTGACAACTACTGCATTAGAGGAACCCACCTTGGAGAACCATCAATTGCAGGAAGGAAAAAACTAAATCCAAACTGGAAGACATTCTGGAGAATTGTCTTAGGAAGGGTTTGTCTGGTGAGGGTCACTTATCCTGGCTGATCTGGGAGGCACAGCAAAGAGGCCATGAGGAAGAAGTCAAGCTTATCATTGAGCCTAGACTCTTGTCTGGCCATAACGTTTCTAACTGCATCATTTAAATACACCCCTAGACTGCTCACAACTTACTAATGCAGTCTTCATAGGAAAGAAGGCTCTAGAGGATTCTGTCTCTGGTGGCTTTTGAACAAGGTTCCTTTTTCTCCATTGTCCTCCGAGTTGCAGGGTCTGACCAGTGTAATCAGTCCCCCCAGGATTGATTACCCCACCCCCTCCCACAGTGCAGGGGCTCTGTGCTTTTACTAGTCAGAATTACTCATTGCAACCAGGTGTGATGCTGACCGTGTTGAAGCAGAGGCAGGAGGATCAAAAGTTTGAGTGCATCCCGACTACATAGCAACGACCTGTCTCATAATAAATAAATTAGTATTTGCTTTGCCTGGATCCAAGGTAAAAAGTGTTCTGTGGGATTTGAACATGTTGGGCTTGTTTTATTGTATATTCCATGGACTCGACTAAGATCTGAGGCTTAATATACTCAACAAGCGACTTTGTTTTCCAGAGTGGCAAGAAATACGGCAGCCCCTGCGGAGGAAGAAACTGCTCTGTCTGCCAGTGTTTTCCTGAGAAGGGATCGCTGGTGAGTGACACAGAGGTCAAGATTGACTCTGTGTCTGGGGTTCTAATCACTCTGAATATTTTTAACCTTCTGTAGCCTCTGATCCTCTGAATGACTTGTGAGCCTACAGTGCTTATCTGTTATAAACTCTCCAAGTTCTTAGAGAGGGCTGCCATGAATTGAGACACTGTGTGAAGCCGAGAAGACAGCCTAGACCATGCAGTTCACCTGTGTTTTATACAACACTAGTGTCATGACTCCCCCTATGAGGAAAGCCCTGTGTTGTCATTCTGGGTCATCTCCTCCAAGGTTTATGGGATATCAGCATTTTAAAGGCTCTGAGAAGTATATGAAGAAGAAGAAGAAAAACTTTTAACTTGGTTTAAAGTCATGTTTCCAGACATTTGACCATAATGCTCTTGCTGGATAACACCCTACTGAAGCTTAGTATTCCAGTTAAGGCAATAGCTTTACATAGCATGCTCTATGTTTGCCTTGACTGTTCTGTGTTCTTAAAACTCCTTATCTAGCTCTCTGATTCCTCAGTTTAATGCCCCAATTCTGCTGTGCAGAGGACTGAGCCCGAGGCCAGTTTCTAGTTCGAGGCTGCCCAGAATAGTTCTGTTGGCAACTATCTATTTTGTAAAGTGTGGAGACCACGTTGGCCACTGTCTTCTGGGAACTCACAAACACATCCCTGTGCTCTGGCAGCTGCACTAGGCAGCTTGTTAATTCATGAATGCTGAGGCTCGGATGAGGTAGCCGTTTGCTTCAGAACCCTGTCATAATTTTTATAGACGTATACTGAAATATCACTCTTTATACCTTAAATACACATCATTTTGTATCAACTAAAAATGGTAGTAAAAAGGCCACTATGGAAATACCCCCACAATCTGGCAAGAAAGATTAAGGTTGGTTGTCTTTCTTAAGCTCTGGATAGTTTTGAAGTCAAAATACAATTTGTTTTGATGCAATAGTCTTCATGCTACTGAAGCAATATACCGCATTGGGGATGGTCTTAGTTACTATTGCTTGGTTACTGTATTAGGTTACTATTGCTGCAATGAAACACCATGGGCATAAAGCAACCTGGGGAGGAAAGAGTTTACTCAGCTGACACTTCCACATTACTGTTCATCACTAAAGGAAGTCAGGATAGGAACTTGAGCAGGGCAGAAATCTGAAGGCAGGAGCTGATGCAGAGACAATGGAGGGTGCTGCTTACTGCTTGTTCCCCATGGCATGCTAAGCCTGCTTTCTTATAGAACCCAGGGCCACCAGCCACAATGGGCTTGGCCCTCCACTATTGGTCATTAATTGAAAAAAATGCCTTACAGCTGGATCTCATGCAGGCGTTTCCTCAACTGAGGCTCATTCCTCTCTGATGACACTAGCTTCTGGCAGGCTTACACACAAACCCAGGCAGTATAGGGTCTGGATTAACTTCAATCTGTTTCTCACCATTCCAGAGGCTGGGCAGCCAAATTTAAGGTGATCACAAACCTTGTGGCTACTGAGAGCCATTTCCTGGCTTGAGGATGGTATCCTTCAGGGTAGAGAGAAAGAGACAAAGCTCCCTAGGATCATCTCAGAAGGGCTCCACGGTGATGATCAAGTCATCTCCCAGGCAACTCGTCTCCTACTCTTGGAGACCCCATCTCCTACTCTTAACACACTGGAGCTTGGGATTTCAACACATACATAGGGGACCTAAAGAAACATTCAATCCAAACAACATCCATATCAACCCCACAGGGCTAGGCATGACACTCAAAGTGCATGTTTGGCTGGTAGTCATTCTTTAGGGCAAAAAACATTTCCTTCTTCCCACTTCATAATTTTATCACTGTATCCACGTGTCTTTAGAAATCTCAGTCCCCTTAAAATTCTGCGTTTCCTTGCTGGAGATCTTTTTGTTTCACCCATCTTTCTAGGGACACTTGACAGTGGAGACAAATTTTAGTTATCACAGCTGGGTGGAAGGAAGACAAATTTTAGTTATCATTACTGGTGTCTAGTGGGCAGAGGCCAATGGTATAGCCCAGCTTCTTGTAGTACAGGGTACATTCTACACCAGATACTGATTGGTCCCCAATAACAACAGAATAGAGAAGGCCTGTTCTTACCTCCACAGCTCCGTGGGGTAGGTGTGATTATTTGTGTTTCCATCTGATGGTGTAAGGACCCAAATCAGAGCCAGCAACCACATCCAGGTGCCTGGCCTCACCTCCAGGACTTGCTCCACAGGCATGGAAAGGTTATTACACATAGGTTCCAACACCTGGATCTACTGTCACTCTGTGAGCTCAAGTGAGCCCTTCCTGAGATCAAGCCCTTAACATTTGCTACCTGGATCCTGCTTCCTTTTTTTTTTTTTTTTTTTTTTTTTTTTTTGAGCATCCTCATGATCACAAGCCAATAACTCTGTACAGAGTGTGCTTTTTGGCCTCCAAGGCTGTCTGTGGATTGCCAGGGTTCCCGAGACTGAGCTATGTGTGTGTCCCTGGTACTGGGTGGCCAAAGGGACTGAGTGTGCAGCCCCAGCAACCCCCACCTTTCCTGATGGCTGGGATCTCCCTGTGAGGGCTGCAGGTGGGGGTGTCATTTTCCAGCAGAGAATGTGGGAGGAAGACCATATGTCACTGGGAGGGGGTGGAGATATAGGCTCTCCCCTGGGGTCCTTAGCATCCAGCCAAGTTGTCACTTCAGTGGCAGCTCCAGGTGGACAGCTGAATAATAATGAGCTGACACTGAATTTCAGGGGCTGGAGGTGTCTCCCTGAAGCTACTCAGCCTATTTAGGGGAAAGCTGATAACCCTAAGAAGGAAGTTGGTCCTTTTTATTACTGTTTATTCCTCGATAATACAAAAATGAATTCTGATCTTTTAAAATCAAATCACCGTGACTATCTGCCACTCCTCAAACCCCTCACTGAAAACTTTCTTCTCAGCAAGTCTTATTCCTACTTCGATCTTTCCTTTCTCTCTCTCTCTCTCTCTCTCTCTCTCTCTCTCTCTCTCTCTCTCTCGTTTGCTCTCGCTCTCTCTCACCTCCCTTCCTCCCTCTCCTTCCCTCTCTCTCTCCCT